TATAATCGATTTCCTCAAATATATAGATATAGAAATGAGGCAATAAACATACCTTTGCGAGGCCTTCAATCTGATGAAGAAGCACGGGCTTATTGCCGAGCTCGAGAGGACGGGATAGACCACCGGTATCTGTCGTACCAGAAAAATCCCGTTTCGCGACGTAAACCACGCAAAATAACCTTTGAGCGCTCTAAAATTTCCTGTAAAACATGAGGTTGAGCAATACGGACTTACCAGCGGGAAGAATAAGAGCCTTCATTGTTGAGAACTTTGCAGACGGGTGAACGAATTGCTCTCCTTGAGAAGGAATTGCAGAAGGATTTGTGGATTTGTGGCTGATCCGAAAAATCCAGTCACAACGTGCACTTTTCACATAAAAAGTATAACCGACGCGTGACGCTTTCCACCCCTTTGACCCTTCCGTCCGTACCATCATGTCCCTATCTTTGAGAATCATAAGCGCAGATCAAGTGCAGGATACTCCGTCTCCAGACTCAGAAGCAGCTTTCGAAAAGGCTAAAACAGGAATCACTGATGGCGCAGCACTGTGTTTCCAGGCACGTCGAGACTACGCTATGCTCGGCTTACATCTTTCTGTGCTTTCCCAGAAGCCCGCTGTTAACACATCTCTCTACATTCCCTAAATAAAATAAATATAATACGCAAAGTAGCAAGCACGGCAGCAAAAGGATGAGAATGCTCGTCTCCAACATTACATCACCTACTCTACCTTACTAGAGATTCTCCTTGCTGAGCCCGACAAATACTCGCCGGATCAGCAGATTGCACTCCTGTCCTCCCTTAAGAAACTGTTGACCACCGGTGACGAGGAAGAGGATGAAGCCAAGGTAGTTTATATTATGCATGCAAGTCAGCATATGCATCTACACCCGATTCACCCATCGTTCTCATCTTTCACCTTCTCAGAACGACCTTCTCCGCCACATCGGCTGGGATTTAATCAATGTCCTGGCGCCCTACCTCCTGGTCCCCGAACCCGCCGCTGAGAATCTCCCGTCGACCCGCCAAATTACTGCAGACATCTTCACCGTCATAGCTGAGTACTGCAACCCTCGTGAGGTCTACGTGATGCTGCTGCAACGCATGGGCATGGTTGACTGGACGCGTGCGAGAGATAACGAAACGGCCGCAGTGAAGGCAGTAATTGAGTTGGTAGAGCTAGGAAAGATACTGATGATCGGTGCGTGGCTTCCAGAATACCTATTGTTAGATTGATGTTTTTCATTGTGTCTTCGCCTTATTGATACTTTGTTCAATCCAGCGGTCCCCCGCATCTCGACCAAAAACTACGTGAAGTTCCTCGTCCAACCCATTCGCCAGTTCTCCCGAGCGCTGGGCTTCCTCGAGCACCTCTCGACACAGGAGACGTTCGCAGCGCCGAGGCGGAAGCAGATGCAGTACACGCTACTCGACTTCGCACTTGACTTTGCGGAGCGGTGCGCTGGCTTGCTCGAGGATCATCACGAAGTAAGAACCAAATCCTTTCACCATTAGTCCGCATCTAAAATCTCTCTACGATTTTCCTGATTTACCGCTTCAAATCTTATCACACAGCCCTTGTCCTTCACCTTCGATCCGACTTCGGCCAACGATGAGCCAGCACAGCGCCACTACCTCACCTCTTACTTTGTGCTCACCATCTTTGAGCATGGCGTGCTCCACCTGGAACTAGATGCCGCGCGGCACTACTACGAAATCTACTACCCGCGGTACACAGTCAGGTCGCCAGTAGCGACATCGGAGACGGAAAAGCCGGATGCGAATGAAGAGGAAGAGAAGGCGACAGTAGTAAAACGGGCACTAGTATGTAGAGGTTTGTTATTATGAGCACATGCTAGATAGGGCCTTATTCCTGTGAAAGATTCTTATCACGTAGCGAGCCTGATCAGACCGTCCTCTTCCGCCGTCACCCTGCTAATAAACGAGCCCCCCAATACTTCATCTCCTCTTCCCATCCTTCTACAGGATCTCATCTTTCGTTCCCGCATTACTATCGACCGCCTCCTCCTCTACCACGACATTATCAGATCCTCCCCTACCTCCGTTACTCCCTCTTCCAATGATGACGGCGAGATCGTCTCACCTACGTCTCTCCCACTTTCACCACGGGGTATCGCAGCCGTCGTAGCGCTAGCCGCGTACTCTCAGACCGTCCTCGGCCACCGACCCGGGGCGGAGACAGCCAGGAAGAGGCAGAAGCAGAGGCGCGACACTGATGTCACACGCAGGTTGATCCCCGCGGTGATGGAGCCGCTGTGGGTTGCAAGGAGGACAGTCGAAGCTGCAGCGGGGGGGCTTATGAAAGGGTAAGGTTTAGTTATATGACAAGATTCATGGGATTAGAGGGAAGAGCGGGAGTTGAGGATGGTTTGAACACTGCGACATTTGGTTGGGTTCTTTTTGCCGTTTGGTTCATCGACTTCTTTTATCTGCGGTACCTTGTATACGCATCTTCAATTAATCCAGGCAAAAAACGACGGATGTCAACGAAGCGGACAAGGCTCTCTTGCTATTGCTTTACCTGTCTGACGCCCTTGACGAAGGCATTTTCTCGGTTGAAGATGTACAGGCTCCCTTGGACGGAGACACGGAGAATTTGAAGGAAACCACACGAAAGGGGGAAGAGGGGACTTTCACAATCATGAAGCTAGTACAGGTATTTTCAGTCAATAGCATTCACCGGATTCTATCTCTATCGCATAATACCATCTCACATACTTCACTCACCCTTCCCTCCCCTCTGCCTCCAACACGCGCACGCGCATAACGTGCAGACCGTCGCCACCTTCGCTTCGATCTCGGCGTACGCTCCGCACCGTTTCCTCGCACATCAGTTGTTGTCCCAGTTAATCGTGACGTGTGCCGACGACGCGCGCATGCACATGCTGAAGGAGCTGATCGAGCGCTGTCCGTTCGAACCTATGCGTGCCGCCGCCGTGGGGCTTCTCAAGCAGCAAGTTGATAGTGCGTTCAAGCAGACGCAAGAAAAGGCGAAGGTGTTTGTAACTTGTATATATAATTGTTGTGGATTTGTGCGCCGGCTGCGGTTCGGGCCCCATTTTGACATATCTTGATGGATGTGCATTCTCGTGCTCCTTATCTGTCCGCAGGCCCCTCGCTCCGTCTTCACGAGTCACTACCTCGTCGACACCTTCTTCCCACTCGTGCTGCGGTATGAGCGGTTCCCGTCCGTGGCTACGGAATCCGTCTTCTGGGACCGACATGCATTCTTGATGCAGTCGCTCAACTTTTATCTGTATTTACTGATGAAGGACAAGGAAAATAATTGGGTGGGTTTAGGAGTGCCATAGCTTTTCCCGATTTTTGCGTTCAACTTGTGTGCTAATGAATTGCTCTCGTGGGTTCAGACAATGGATTAATTCTCATATTTTTGTTACTGCTGCACATCTTCCCCGTCTAGACTGGCGTGTGGCAAAAATCCAACCTGCAGCAGGTGTCGCGTGAGCTCCTGGAACCTGTGACCGCGAACGTGGAGCACTGGTCGCAGGAGTACGAGAAGCGGGAACGAGAGTTGCAGGAGCAAGTGGGCGAGACCACGGAGCAAGAAGATGAGCATGGTGAGTAGAGACCGATTATATCTATCTAGGGGTTCATTCCCGTAATGTCACCAGCAACTTTATGTGACTGTTGCTATACCTTTCATCGGTAGAGCACCACCACCATTATCATCACCATCATCATCCCTATCAAGGCGCACCCGCCGGGGATTCACTCTTGCAAACGAATATGCCAATCAACGAGGAAGATGAGGACGAAGAGGCAACGCCGAAGGCGACGCCGAGACAGGAGCTCCGGGTGAGCTAATTTTTGCTATGGGGCGGATGTGACTGTGCCTTCATTTAGTTATTTTAATTTCCTTTGCTCATTTTCAAACCGCGCAGATGCTACAGTCGAGGCTGCTGAGCCTCTCGATGATGCAGGATGTAATCGGGCGGGTGCGGGCAGTCGTGGACCAGGGGAGAGGAGAGACGGAGGAAGAGGAAGATTAAGGGGTGGTATGTTGTATGGAAGGCATGTTTGATGCAAGGGCGTGATGGTGTAATTAATATCAATGGAATTAAAGGTCGATGGCATCTCTTTTTGGATAATGTTTTTTTTTTTTTTTTTTTTTTTTTTTTTTTTTTTTTCATTTGTTTATACGCACCATAGAATTGGTTTGAGTAACAGACAAGTCGACCTCTTGATCCTTTGCTTAATGCCCCGGAAAGACGTCGTGTAAGGCAACATTCAGTACATGCCTCGCCCATCTTATACATTGCAACAAGCCATTTTGATTTCAATCCTCTCGCTCCGCGCCTACCCCAATCATCCACTCTGCCGTCTTGGATTCCCGGTGTATCTTAAATTATCCCTACCGTTGCACCTTAGTATTCCTATGCCAGATAGAATAAGGAAAAGGGAAGAACTCCGGGTCAACTTTCAAGCAATGAAATGAATGTCGTCGCATTGTAATAAATGTGGTGGCGATAGTAGTGTTTTTTTTTTTGTTTTTTTTTTTTTTTTTTTTTTTTTTTTTTTTTTTTTTTGAGAGAAAAAGATCTTTTGAAATGTTATTAATTTTCAAATATTTACAAATATTAATAAAAAAAATCTATTTGTTGATTTTGAGTGATGCATAAAAAGCTATAAAATAAAAATAAAAATCTTGCTTTAACTCGTATGGACTTGCATAAAAAGATTTCAAGACTCTGGAAATTGTATCGATCTATGTGTCCCACTACATTTTTTATTTTCTGGGGACCGCCCTGCTGGTTTTCCCTCTTTGATTGTTTCCACATATGTCCCTGCTTGCCTGGAGCATTTAAAGACAGCACTACCGGTCATAGTACCCTATGTACATACCAAACGAGGGTCTTGCCTACCCATAAAATTCTAAAACATATATATTATGGCCGGTATTTTTACGGCCGTTATGAGGATATAATAGGTTGTTTGGGCGACAACATTCCAACAAAATTGCTCCCGTGGGACAGTCGGCAGTCCATGGTGCTTATAGGGTATAACCTATGCTTGAGTCACGCCAGGGTCGCGAGTTCGATCCTCGCCGGGAGCAACATTTTTTTTTTTTTTTTTTTTGGCTATAGGCTTTATACAATTAAATGATATGTATTGTAATAATAATAATAAAAGCGACAGAAATCTTTGATTAGTAATGTTACTCAACCGGTACTTTGTCTGAAACTTGATGTGTTGCGCCCGAGCAACTTTGTTTAATTATATAAAACCTCGTTTTTTGTTATAATGAACCTGTATTCAAGGAGTCGTGTTTTCAGCGTTGCGTGGTGGCGGGTTTGCAAGAAAAGTTGTAGTTAAACTATATATATATCTGCAAGTTGTGGAGTAGAATTCGGAGCAGGTTCCCTCCCACGATTAAAAGCTAACCTGCTCTTTGTCCGTCAGCATTCGATGGTATTAAGGACAACACGGCTTAATTTATGATAAAAGTCGGCAACTATGACAAAAAAAAAAAAAAAAAAAAAAAAAAAAACTATTAGAGAAAGAGCAAACGTTCTCCGCAAACTTACAAGGTTTCTCTTGAGGCGGCTCAATGTCGAGTTTCAGCGCTAGCGCATTTTCCAGCGTAAATAGTGTCGTCAATATCGTCAAGTTTGTACGGCTTTCTTTCGATGGCTCGAGAGGTAATTTGTTAAGAGTGAACCTTTGAGATATTTTTATTGGAGGGCTTGTGACGCAATTGAAGAATCATGATGTAAAATAATATATACCAAATGAATAGACCTATCCTCATCATACAGCTTTGATAATTAATTACAATATTCTGACGGGAAATATAATGATAGATTACATATAAATAGACTAGAAAGAAAGAAATGTCGGTTTGTGAGGTGCAAGTAATTAAAGAAAACTGTTTTGTGACTCAACATGGTAGGCGATTGGCACCGCCATTTGATGTGGAAGTCGAGGCCGGGGAGCGAAAAGAAGCTTTGTAATTGTAAATTCAACTGCGTGGGATAGCATAGCAGTTATCCAGACGAAAGAAAAGAACCCGAGCTCCTTTGTGACAAGAATTTCAGATATTACATTAAGCGAACGACAACAAAAACACCTCATCCGAGATACTTGAAAACCCAATGTATGTCGGAATATATATGTTTGAAGAACAATATACAATTATATATATGCATGCAAAGAGGAGAAACTAGAGAACGCAGAAGTCAATAAATCCATGAAGAAAATTGGTTTGCTCAAGCCCCATCCAATACTTCATTATCCTCTTTCTTAACCATACCATCGCTCGCTCACCACTCAGCCCGTGCGTAGGTCATATTCAGTCCCGTGGCAGCGGCAAACCCCAACGCCCCTGCGAGGGACACCACCAGAATAATGACGGTCATTGTAAGGTTAGCGCGGCCCCAGAAAACCTCGTACCGGTTATCGCTATTGACGCAGCACGCGCCAAAGAACCAGAACGGAGGAACAAACCTGCGGGAATTTGTAGTAGAGGAGGGAGGATAAATCAGGGCTCTCCAAAGTCGGGTGCTGAACAAAAACGATTCTAGGAAAGCCGTATAGCCGTATCCACGGTTTGGCCCTCTGCCATCTATCCATCCGAATCCTTACAAGTCTTTGGAAATTAATTTAAAAAAAAACCCCTTTCCTAAGAAAAGTCGCCAGAATTACTCACCACCCAAGCAAGAAGAACAGTGCCGCAATTGGGAATCGCCTCTCCTCCTCACTTAATAACAGCGGCTCGCGCTCTCCCCTTCTACGATATCTCCTCCCGTGCACATTGGTCCCTCTTACATACACAATGTGCTGCGGGGGTACTGCGGGAGCCGCGGGTCCCTCTGACGACGGGTGCTCTGTCGTGCGGTAGAATCTATCGAGGTCGGTGTGGCCTGTGGTGACAGATGAGGGGTACGATGGACCAGACTGCGGATGCTCCTCGTACGGCGGTGGCGGATCGGAGTCCTTTTGCATTTGTTAGTTATAGCGGGTGTCGATGTTGGGGTTGGAGTAGAGATGTTGGGGTTGGAGTAGAGGAGGGGTCAAGAGACGCGCGTGTGATGATATAAGGCAACAACCTGTGACTTGTCATGACGGCTATCTGTCACGTCATATGACACACGCCAAGTCTACATAATCATAACATCTTTTATCTAATCCATGATTTCTTTGACTAAAAGTCATATATATACCTTTACATTGCAACAGGACATAAGCGCTATGCGCTTATAGTTATCCGATATAGTTATCCGATTATTACATAAGGAATTATTACATAAGGACTCGTACACAAAATATATCTAACTTCACTGGCACTATAACCCTAAACGCCGCCACCACTTCTCCCTGGATCAATCTTTTCGCCTTTACCATCCTTCCCCCCACGATTCCAACTAGGCGTATTCCACCAATGGTGGTTCTTTGTGTGCTCCATCTTGGCTTGCTGTAGTGCCGCCTCCTTACGACCGAGTTCCTTACGTTCCTCAAAGCTTGCGACAATACGTGCAAATTCCTTGCGGATCTGAATCTCCTTCACCTGTGGTTTGAGAGATCGGTATTAAATTGTAACGTCAACTAAGAGAGGAGAGGGAAAAAAAAAAAAAAAAAAAAAAAAAAGGAAAGGAAAAAAAAAAAAAAAAAAAAAAAAAAACTTACCGAGCTCATAACCTCTAAGAATTCATTAAATTCAATCGTCCCATTCTTGTCCAAATCTACCTCAGCAATAATTCCAACCAATACATCACCACTCACAACAACTCCTAGCTTATCCAGCACGACCGCTAAATCCGCCGAGTTAATATGCCCGTCTCCGTCGGCATCCAGCTCCGCGAACACGGTCTGGAACTCCTTGATTTCCTCCGGATGAAATTGCGCGCGTGAATACAGAGTATCCGGAATATGCGCGAGGATGGGGCTGGTGGAGCGGGCAGAGCCCGCTTGGCCCTTGATCGCACCGGACTCGAAGGGCTCGCCAGCAGAGGTGTGGTCGGCGTTGAGCGGATAGAGTAGGTGCGACTTGGGCGAAGGCAGGCCCATGGTAACAAGGAACTCAATGGCGTCGTTGTACTCATTCTTCCTGCGCTCCTGCGACCAGTTGAGCTCGCTGCCCATGATTTCAATAATACGTGGGAGAGCTTCAAGCGCCGCTTGCGCGTTAAGGAAGGCAATGCGTGTACGCCGCGCTATGACGTCCTGGTTGGAGTGATAACAATGAACTTGTCGATTTAGATTCCATTGGCGTTGTTGACGGCATACAATTGACTAGATTTAAGAGTATGTAGTATCACTTACCACAGCAGTGCACGCGTACTCTCTCCGTACGGCGTAACGGACTTCGGCCTCAATGTAGGGATAGTAAGATGATAACCGCTTGCCAAACACAGGCCATCGCTTACCGGTGGCCTGGGCAAGAGATGCGACGGCCCAGGCACGGTCTCCATAGCTGTTGGCAAGGTGTTGTGCTACCTAATATATAGTAAAAAAATATAGAATGTAAAAACACAGTTTGAAATACAGGACAATATCGTATATAAATCCGAACTTCTCCCAAAATCCCTACCCTTTCCTGTCAAAAATAAAAAATAAAAAATAAAATATATATATATATATATACCTCCGTCTCCAATCCAAACTGTTGAATGAGCTTGATAAACATTGTGTTACTATATCCATGCGACCCTACGAGCTTGACGAGCTCGCTGCGGCAATCAGACAAAGGGGTCAGATTAAACACTTCAATTGCCTTGTCGACTGTCTCCTTGGCCATGGAGCGGTAGGTAGTCCATTTGCCGCCAGCAATGGTTATTAACTTGCTAGGGCTCACGTTGATCATGTGATTGCGCACCAGTGACTGTGTGTCCTTGGCGGCAGGGTCACGCACCAAGGGACGGATGCCCGACCATGCAGCAAGGACGTCGCCGCGGCGGACCTTGACGTCTGGGTTGGTAATAATGTGCGGTGAGAAGTTGTGTTGGTTTTGTTGACTATCAGATGAAAATAATGCCGAGAAAAAGTTACCTGCATTAAGGTATCTTGCCACTTCATCCAGGATCCAAGTAATCTCTTCCTCTTTGGGCAATGGATTCTGTGTCACCTCCGTTGGGGTATCTGTCATGCCACGCCAAGAACAACAGAAGGTCACAATTTCTTATTCATAAACCTTGCCCAGCTCCTCAGAATCGCGTCTCCTTCTACCACCACTACCACCATCCTTACCCACCTGTAGTCCCGGCGATTGCGTTCCCCTGCCATGGTAAAAAGAAAATAACTCTGCCGTCGCTAGTGTCCGGATCGATCAGACCCATGTTGCCTGGACTGTAATAGTTGGGAAGGATAATGTGCACACCAGCGGAGGGCGCGACGATCTCTTTGGTTGAGGCCTCGTCCATTTTACGAAGGCCGTCTGTTTTGTCGATTGTTATTGAGGGTGGAAACCATGAGATTCAAGGACAAATTGCGAACGCGTTAGGCGGCAAAAGCATGGATGTTAAGATAATGATTGACGGAAACATTACCAGTAAACGGCCCCGTGGCGTTAATAACACCCTAAAAAAAAAAAAAAAAAAACGATCAAGAAAGTGAACCTCCGAATACCAAACACGGCAAATATTCTAAATTTGACTTTGCGCCATCAATCCTCATCATCCAGATCCATTCATCCCACCACATACCTTGGCCCGTACTGTCCACACGTCACCTGTCAAGACGTCACGAACAATGGCTCCACAAACATCGTTCTTCTCGTTCTTCACCAGGCTTTTGGCCTCGACGTGGTTCGCCACAACGGCGCCGTGGCTGACGGCCGTTAAAATAAGGGCGACGTTCATACGGGCATCATTATGCTGTCCTGAAACGACGATAGGGGTTATAGTTCAATGCTGACTACTATACCATCACTTTTTTTTCCGTACAAAGGATCTTCCTCTACCATCTCATCGTCTCCCAAAATGTTCAGGATGTGTGTTTGATAATTACCATCATAGTACACCAACGCGCCCACGAGCTTGTCCCCTTTGAGCATCGGAAACGCTTCAAGCGCCTTTCCCTTAGGCAGAAAGTAACTGCTCTGAAGCGACTCGCGGCCAG